CGATGAAACAGTCCGGGCGCATTTCAATGGGGAGCTCGGCAGGGGCAATCGCGGCGGGCTGCCAGTCTGAAGCCGCCATTGAGCCGCAGTGACTGCGTAGGAGGCAGAGGGAGAAAGAGAGCAGGGGAACGCGGCTAACCGCCGCACGCATAGGAAAGATAATTAGCAGTGTAGGCGCGTGGCGCTACTGGGTGCACCAAATGCCCGGTGCGATGTCAAAACGGCATCTCAGCGAAACTGGGTGGCGCCCCGCACTCGGCGTTACTGTCGATGCCGTTTTTCGGTCCATGGGCTCTCGGTTGCTCGGCTCCTCTTCCCAGCCTTGCCCGGTGAATCGGGTCCGTCCGTCGCCTTTCCCCTTGCTCGGGTGCTCTCCCGCTGCGTGGAAACTGGTGGCGGCGGTCCCGCTGCTGCTGGCAGCGCCTGAGCTGGGGGCGTTACTGACTGCCGTGACCCTGTCAGTTGCGATGCGAAAGTTGGCCCCAGTGCGCATGAACTGGTCGGCGCGGCGCACGTCGTAGCCTGCAGCGCCCCACGCGTGGATGAAATTTCGGCACGCGCCTGGCGGCTGCAGTGCCGGGTCGAAAGTCGGCCGGGCGTTAGCGCGGCAGATTTTGGCACAGTGTGCAATCCACAGGTCGCTGAACATGCTGCCTAGTTCCCTCTGCATCCTGGAGACGAAGGCGCTGTTGGACTCCCCGGGGTATTGCGCGTCGATCGCGCGCAGTCGTGCCTGGTGCATCTTGGGCCCGTCGTCCTTCTCGGGCTCGTGGATGGTCAGTGGGTTCTTGGAGAAAGGTACCCATTGGCCATGATTGAATATCCCGTCATGCCCCGTGCGCTCGTTCTGGTTGCGCCAGGCGTCGTCGCGAGACTGCGTGGCCCGGCGGTCTGAAGACCTGTCGTAACTCCACTGGTCCCTGTATCCGCGCGAGGAACCAGTCCTGTGATCAGCGGTGCGCTGAATTGGAGAGTCTCGTTGTTCTCGTCTGCCGCTCTGCCCCTTGCCTCGCGCATGCCCTTTTGGTGGGGCCCAATGTGGCGGATCTCGCCTCCTCGGCAGCGGGGGTCTATCGTCTGCGGCGCTGGATGTCATCTTCAGCAGTCCCGGCATTGTGACCCCCCCTGTAGCTGGGCTTCCTTCAGGCTCTCCTGCCTCGTCCGCTTCAGACTCCTCGCTGGCCATGCTCGGGTCGTATTCTAGGAGATCGCCATCCGGGCCCCTGCGTTCCTCTGTGGCAGCAGCAGGCTCGTCTCCTGAGCTGCTCCTGATCTCTCTTGTAGCTGTTCGTGGACCTTCAAGTCGGGTCAGTGGCCGCCCGCTTCAGTCCGTGCCAGGGTGGGCAGGAAATAATTGCCTCTCGAGAGAGGCGCTCATGACCACGCTGACCAAGGGGCCCAGACTCTTCTCCTCAACGCGTATTCGTCGGGAGCCCGGGTCGCACAGGGCCGAGATGTTTTCCTTGGTTTTATCCGCCAACCTGGCCATTCCCTCCATGAGCTGCTGAAAGGACATGTTGTCTGGTGCCGCGGTACGGCGCGGGACGATTGGTCGAGATCCAATCCCGCGCGGGCGCGTGCGTGCGTCCAGCATTCCCAAGTTAACGTTGCCCAGACGCATCGCACGGTCGGGGGCGTCCTCGATGTCAAGTCTGGCCAGCCAGTGAGCAAGTTCTTCCGCGCTATGATAGACCCTCGGGTCTTTGTCCCCGTGAGTGGTTTCGTTGACGTGTGCCGCCCACAGTTTCTCTTGCCGATCGTCCTTCCCGATGATGTGTTGCACGACCAGTCCAGCGGCCCAGCTTTTGCCATCCCATTCCGCGCCTGGCACCAATCCATCGGTAGTGGGCCCCGACGGAGGAGACGTCCAGGCCAGGGTGGATCAGGCCAGAACGTCGAGCCAGTTGACGTCCAACCCGTTGTCTGGCACCTCGCACTGGTTCTCCAGCGCGTAGAAGATGTCATTGGCAACTGAGTTGATGCGTCTGCGGTGCAAGCAAATTTGAACTGGCGTGTGTCCCGGTGTGTCGCTGTTGTCGTCGGTCCACGCTTGGAAGAACATGTCGAGTCTGGCGTTGGCCACGTCTGGCAGCTGTGGGACCCTGATGTCCGGAAACATGTTCTTGATTGCGTCCACTCGTTCTGGATCGGGTTCGGGTAGTGGCGACGTCCCCGATGGTGGCCCGCGCTCGACGTCGTCGTCGCCGCGTGGTACCTGCGCTCTTTCTTTGCCAAGTGCGAGGGCGAGGCCACCCGCGTCCTCTTTCCTCTTCTTGGATGTCTGTGCTGTGGGGGAGACTGGATGCATCGATGGCGTGTCACGCACAAGGATGCGGTTTATGACGGATGGAGCAGCGTCAGAGATGTGGGCAAGACAATTCCCGCAAAACCATCCAGCGTTCCAATCGCCACTCGCCCAGCAGTCGATCTAGTTGGCCCAGGAGGGTAGGTTGCACTGCTCTGTGTCCTCCATGCCAGGGGCCGGTCGCCAGACGAAGCACCCGACAGCTGACTGCCCGAGTTTCCTGGCGTGCAGCAGCTCGGGCCCTGGGCAGCCGTCGCACGGCGCACTGTATATCCTAGACTTGAGTCCCTCTGCGCCGAAGCGGTCGTCGCCAGGTCGGGTTGGGGGATTCGGTGCGCCTGTCGCCTTGGGGTCGCTGGCTGAGTCCGGTGTGAGAAGTAGGTCGCGTAGCAGGCAATCGGCGGTTGGATTTGCGATTTTGGCACGCCCGGTTGGGAGTTGCTCAGGCGGTGTCAGACTGGCAGCTGTGGGCCTACTGGGCATGCTATTCCGTAGGTTGGCCAGCTTTTCGCGCATCGTGTCTCCTGCGGGGGCGTCAGCACCTTGCTTCTCGAGGCTCTCCACCCAGCGCCCAATGCACAGCCAACGGCAGTTGAGTCCCTCGTGCCACCCTGCATCTCCTCGCCGTTGCCAGTCGTTGACGCATATCGTTGTCCTCCCAGGTGCCCTCGATGTTAGTGGAGGGGCCTCTCTGACAGTCGTCGCAGTAGAAGCTGGCAGTGTTCTGTGACGCCGAGAAGCGCTGGTCTCCTGTTCGGAGCCTTTTCGGTGTCATTCAGTGTGGCGCCAAATTGCGCTGTAGGGGGTTCAAGTATGAGAAGGTCCTTTTGGTCCATCGCTCGCCCTGTGCCAGCATAGTGTAGCCTCTGGTCCGGCGTGCGCCCGAGATGCTTGTGATTCCCTGTGATGGATTTGTAGAGCCAGCTGATGGTGCAGTTGGTTGTCTCGTTGTCAGGCTGGTCGCTGGTAGGAACCAGCGGTACTGGGAGCGGTTCAATGAACTGATCGATCACCAGCAGGATCCCTTTGATGTGAAAGTCAGAACGCTTGCAGTCTTCCCACGTTGACGGGCAACCGCTTGTTTCGAGACATCGTGATGGTGGCTGGTACTTATGAGCACGCCCACGTGTCTTAGCGCGTCAGCGAATCTCCGATGCAGGTCCTGGTAGTCGTGATGGAAATATTCCATGTCAGGCCAAACTGCGTCCGGAAATGAAGGTAGTTTGCAATGGATGTGGTGCCGGTTGAGCTGCCAGGTTTGCATATGCCCAGGACGGCCTCCACGATATCCCCTGGCCCTTCTTGTTCGGAGAATGGGAAGAGACAGGTCCTTGGTTCCCGGAACGCTAGCATCATCATCACAACTGCCGTGCAGGTCTGAGCACGTGCGGTGGGGTCAATTGGCATGTAGTCACATTGGATGACGTTTTCCAGGCCGTCCATCCCTGGATGCAGTTGGTGCATTGGACACTGTGTCGTCGCGGCACTCCATACTGTGGGTAGCTGTTTGTCCATGCCAGCTGGCGAGCCTCGGCAGTCCTTGGAGGTCGCGGCCGCGAGCGAAGAGCGCACGCGGCGAAAGCAATTGTCTGGGGCTGCGAACAAGGCGAATTAGCTACAAGACGCGCCGCAAGCTGGCCGGCCCACTCACCAAGCAGCAGCGGGGCTGTGCGGGAGGCTGACAGCTGGGGACATCCAGGGAAGCTCAGGCACGTGCAGTCTGACAAAATGCCGAGAAATTCGGTGCATGCCGTGAAGCATAGCCCACACAGACGACGCGGGGACGTGCACGGAGGTGTCGACGTGTCCATCATGCTGGGTGGGCGTACAGGCGCGAAGACCGATGAGCGAGTCGCCAGTGGGGCGCCAGGCCTAGGGCCGTCCCAATGGCGTGTGCGGGCAAGGAGAGCTGAGCTGTCGAGGGACGCGAAGCGTCTAGAATTAAAAAAAAAAACGTCTATTTCCGAAAACGAATATTGATAGATGCAGTGTGCACGGCGCCTCGACGGGAAACTCAGAATTTGAAAAATGTTTATTTTGTTTTAGGTTGTCTACCAGAGCGGGAATTCTTTGGGTTCTCCGGGGTTCCCGTGGGTTCTCGCCGGAGGTTCTCCGGGTTCTCTGGGATCTCCTGGTTCTCTGGGTTCTCCAGGTTATCTGGGTTCTCTGGCTTCTCCGGAATCTCTGGTGTCTTCGGGTTCTCTATAGTCTCTGGGGATTCTCCGAACGTTCCCCGCGGGTTCTGCAAGGTTTCTCCAAAGGTTCTCTGGGTTCTCGGGAGGTTCTCCGGGCGCTCCGAAGGCTTAAGGGTCCGGGTTCTCCGCGTACTCCAGTCATTCTCCTCCTGGGCTTTCTGGGTTTTTTTCGGGCTCTCTGGGTTCTCAGGGGGTTCTCCAGAGAACTTGTCCGCATAGCGTTCACGAATGGTCCACGAGAGCACTCCGAAGAGGCCCCAAGAAGCATCCCTGACAACTCTGACCCACAACCCAAGCACGGTGGCGGGGCGGGACGAAGGCCACTAAATATTAGATGTAGTGCAAAGTGCAACCCGTGACACTTGTTGCCTGGGAGACTGGTGCATGCTATCTATCGTGTCCTCACTGGTTGTCCGAATTCCTGGACTGGCGGCTTTGTGCCGTAAGTTCCTTATCGGCCAGACGTGTTCATCGAGCTCAGCCACACATGTGCGATAGACAGACGACGTCGAGGAGAAGGGGGAGGAAAAAGACAAGGACGAGTGCCACTACGCCTCTCATGTGGCTCCGTGGGGGGACGGCGCAAGGAACGATGCGCCGAGGGGAAATCTCCGCCGCTACTTTGTGGTCGGCTGGGGGAAAGGTACCCGTTGCGTGCCGGCGAAGATCGCAGGCTTGAAACAGTCAGGGACCCCGTTGGCCATCACGGGGCTGTTTCGGTACCGATCGATGTTCGCTTCCAGACCCTGCAAGTAAGACAGAGACGCTGAACAGCGACGGAAGCGGGACGCAGACTTCGACATGTGCCCGAAGCCATCGAACTTACCGATCAAGCACTTTGCGTGCTCCTCAGAAACCAAGTTCACGAAGCCGTAGCACTTGCTCTGCTTGCTCTTGAAGTCCATTGGCAAGTAGACGAAATACGCAAACCCCTGTGGCGTCACCAGGCTTGTGCGATTGCTCCGGGGCCTGAGCTCGACCGAATAGCGCCATCGGACCGGATCGGAAATTGATCCGATCGCGCCTGGATCATCGCGCAGTCGGGTCGAAACGAAACCGCTTGGGATCGCTGATCGGGCTTGCCCCCTGCAAGCCGGAGAGGAACTCGCCCTGCGTCGGATCGGATCGGATCGAGGCCAAAGTCAAGATCTGGGGGTCGTCTCTGCTCGAACCGGGCCGCGAGTAGCCCTCCCTTCGAACGTAGGCCCCCCCCCGCCGCCTCCTCCTCCTCCTCCTCCTTCTCATCCTCCTCCTCCTCCTCCTCATCCTCCTCCTTCGTCTCCTCCGGGAAGCGGCCTCTTCGGAAGGCGGGTCCGAGAAGCCCTTTCCTCCCAAGGATGCCGTTGGGCAGGTCGCGACGGCCCCAGAAGGCTGCAGAGATGGTTCAGAACCTTCAGAGACGCCAAGAGATGGCCCAGGAGAGGCTTCCGAGACCAAAACTGCCGAACATGCACTGGTTTCGATATCCGGCGCCGCGCTTTGATGGAGTGGTAGCATGCGTGTGAGTTGTTCGGTGCGGTTTGTGAAGTTTTTTCGTTCCACTGGCGACACCCCCTGCTCCTTATTGCTGAACGCCCCTCCCCCCAACCCGACCGGCGACAATCCTGGGACAATGCTGACACCACCACCCACCATGCGGCCAACATTCTGTCTAACGAAACCCTGGCAAGTCGTTGCGACGCCTACGGTGTAAAACGCAAAACAACTGCCCGAGCATCACGCCGAGACATTTCAGGGAGACGAAAGAAAGACGCGAGGCTTGGGCACAAACATTATGGACACGAAAGGGGGTGATAGCAGTGGACCTCGAACCTCCAAAACTTCGCACGTCATCTCCGCGCAGCGCACACCCATGACGAGACGATTCGTCCTTCTAGCGGCTAGCATTCTGTGCAACGAAAGCTTGGAAAGCCTTTGCGACGCCTACGGTGTGGAATGCAAAACAACGGCCCGAGCATCACGCCGAGACATCTCGGGGCTCGGCAATTGAGATCTTATATCTATCCCAAAGCTGTTTCAAAGCTGGCGTGGGCCAGCTCACACTTTAAGGTAAAGCGAACGTAAGGGCCCAATAACAGATTCCCGAACAGAAGTAGAGCACAGGAAGGCGATACCTACTCCCTAAAGCGCCAAGGGTATTGTTGCTACAGAAACCACACCGCATTCGGAATGTTGAAAGCCGTCGCCTCTCAGACGTGTCACAGTTGTAGTGGATGCCAAGGAAAGGTACGGACATCATCGTGCAGGCGCGAAGAAACTTAGTTTAACGTGACTGAGCGCAGCCGTGTGCCAGCCACCGTCGGCGATCACACCGAAGACGCGCCCGCGAGGGATGTCAACCACGCGAAGCAGGGCTCAGACATCTCACCTGGGAACCACTTCTACCAACACTTTCCCGAGCTCTCGGTAGTGGGGGCCGCGAACGGCAATCCAGCAAGTGCCTGCGTTCACGTTGGGGCTGCAGCGGCTAATGCCTGGCCCCCCAACAAGATGGCTTCTGGACGCGCCTCGCCCAGCTCTACACGCGCCTGGAACGCTCTTGAACGACGCCCCCAGGTATCGCTGAGGAGGGCGTGCTTTTCGCAACGCTGGAGGCTCGCTTTTGCCTTCCAGCTCAAATGTTGCCAGATGGCCCCCATGTCGCGGATCAATTTCATGCTGTCGTGGGAGGCCCCTGGATGGCGGGTCTGACGCGGCACGGCGTCGATCTGAAGGCGCGAGGTGGCCGCGCTGAAGAACCTCGTCAATTCTGGGTAGCTGCAGCGCCGCAGCGGCTTCCCCGTCGCGCAAACCCTGCGCGACTCCAGCAACCCTTGCAGCGGTCTCCCGAAGCCGTGGTCCAGCATGCAGCTCTGGTCGAACCCGTCTACCTCGCTGGGGAGACCGCCCTTGAAGTTGAGGGCCACCTCCCAATTGCTGCAGGCCGAGTTCGGGCGGGCCAAGGCCTCGGGGCGCATCGCCAGGAAGCTCCCTGGGCGGCAGTACATGCTCCACATCATCAGCACCACGAGTACCATTCCCAGCTTCACGCCGTTGACGAGCCCGTTGACGATGGCCGCCCAGACGGGAGAGGCCTGCGGCGCGCGCCCAGCCCGTCAGCGCCCGCCAGCTCCGCAGTAGCCCAAGGCATCCGATCTTGTCGAACTGCGGCAGCACGGCTAGCGCAAGCAGAGCGTCCAAACTGTCGGGGCCGATGTCCTGCAGCCGGCGCCCCAGCCGCCGCTTCCCGAGCCGCTCCAGCCTGCGGGCGCGAGCGGGCGCGTCGCCCTTGCCGTCGGATCCGCCCGATGTGGAGTCTGACCGCGCGCTCGGCCTCTGCGCCGCGCCGCCCGTGTCTTGCCACGGGGCGCGGTGGGACTCCACGGCCTCCTCTACCCGCAGCCCGGGCGTCGCTCGGCCTGACGTCGAGGCCGGGGGGGCACCGCGGGGCCCGCGGCGCCTCGGAGGCCCGCGGCTCGCCTCGCGGCGCCGCGTCGCACAGGCATGCGCCGAGGTCCGAACCCGCCGAACCGTCGGCTGCGAGGGGTTCCGCGAGGCAGATGACAGGGCCTCGGCGCGCAGCAGCTCCTTCTCGCGGCGAGCGACTTGGCGCGGGCCCACCCTTGCAGCCCCCGCGGCCCCCACGTGCCGCGGGCCGCCGACGCGCCGAGAAATGGCCCCGAGACTCAAAGAAACTTGGGTCCGAAAGGGCCACGGTGGGACGTCGATGCGGGGGTCTCACTTCATTGCCATCAGGGCGCGGTTCCAGAGAATCACGGGGCCGAAGCACCAGGGCGTTCTTGGGGCTCACGCGACCGCGGTCAACGAGGTCAACTAGTTTTTTTCTTTTGTTTAGTTTGTCATTATTCTTCTTATTCTTATTATTCCTCTTGTTAATATATATATATATATATATATATATATATATATATATATATATGTATATTTACATATATGTGTTTATTAGTCTTCTTCTTCTTCTTTATATATACCCCCCCCCCCACCCCACCCCACCCCCCCCCCACACCGCCGCCACCACCGCCGCACCACCACCACCACCACCACCACCACCACCCACACGGAAAAATAACACACACAAAAAAGCGCCCCGGGGGCGCGACGTGTCTCGGGGGGTCGGGGGCCCCCTCCCTCTCCATGCCCCCGTTCTCACCGCGAAAAAATAAAGCGCGAGGGCCAATGGCCCCGTCAGAAACAACCTCGCCAAGACTCGCCCTCGGCCCGCGGACCTTCCCCGCGGGGGGCTCGGCTTAAAACGAGCGGGGCGGCCAGGTCCGCGGGGCTGCGCTAAGACGGAATCCATCCGACTGTGACACGGACATTCTCGGCGAGGCATATGCATGACAGTCTTTTCCAGATCAGTAAAAGTCTGTAGTTCCTGGTGCGATACCTGCCGCAACATAGAGCGACATCAAGGTTATCACAAAAGAGAAGCTGCCTCATGTTGCGACCTGGGTCGGCGGAAGGATGGGCTTGGCCCCGACGAGGAGAGCACGAGCCTCGAGCAATATAATGTTCCCATCGTGGCTGAATTGCCAACCGCCGCGCAGGCGCGCGCCATGGCCCTCCTCGCAGGCGTCGGCGGCGCAGGCGGCACCGTTCCACCGCAGCTCCCAAAAGGCCATGAGGGTCACAAGAAGCCCGAGAAAGCAGGTGGGCTCCTGCCTGACGCTAGGCCAGAGCTCCGACGCCTCGTAGTAGAGCTTCCACCCGTAGCTGCAGGCGGCGCTGAAGCACGCGGGGCTCTCTCTGCGGATGAGGGCCGCAAGCGCGCAGTGCCCGATCGCGATCTCCAACGCCTGCCCGCTCGCGCGCCGCCGCTTCAGGAGCCCCCGCAGCGCCTGCCGCGGCAGCAAGAACCGCCGACGGCTGAGCCGCGCGCGCCGCCTGCCGGCGCCCGGCGTCACGCGCAGCGCCTCGACCTCGCCATCCGGGATCTCCAGCTCGTGGGTCTCGGGGCCCCTCTCCTCGAAACTGGCGACCAGCTGCCCCGCGGCGCTCGCGACGACCTGGCGACTGCGCCCGAATGCGGCGGCGTTGTCCACGCGCGCGCAGTGCCCAACCCGCCCCCCGTCTCGGAGGCACCTCAGCAGCAAGGGCTTTCCGTGGTCGACAAGGAGTTCGCAGCGATCGATCACCGACGCCGTGGCTTCCTCATCGATGTCCGTAGCGTAGAACAGCGACCAAGTGAAAGCCCGTGGGCAAAGCGGTGGCCAGCGGTGCGACCTGGCCCGAGACCGGGAGCTTCTCGCCCCCCGACTCTCGAAGGCCAAGCTCGCCAGCCGCGACCGAAGGCAAGCCGAAGAACTCACGCAGGTAGTCTGGCATCTTCATGCGGCGGAAAGCGCTGGCGACATCCGCGTCGCCGACTGCGACGTGCGCGGCGTCGAGGCCGCCGTCCTCGACCTCGATGTTACCGAGGCCCTCGGCGGCGAGCAAGCTCACGCGCGGTGGCGGTCGGAAGCGACCGCCGGTCCTTCGAGCGCCCAGCGCTATCCTCGACTGCCCCGGCTTCTCCTTCGCAAAGAATCGCCCAACCCGCTCCATGCACGACGCGGAGAACTTCGCGAGCCCCCTCATCTCGATATTTGGCACATGTCCTCTGCGGTTCCGTGTCAACGCGGGGTCCACGCAACGCGGGTTGTCTTGCAGCTCTGCCTCGATGAATTGTCACTCGACGGGTGGGCGCACTCGCTCTCCATCTCCTTCCAAGAAATACCGACCTCGGGCGCCCACAAGACCCCCGATTTGCTTGCGCCCAACAGCGCTCGAGGGCAACGGCACCACGCCACGACTGAAAAGGGGGCCAAACAAGCGTCGGCGTAGGCCCCCCCCCCCGCCCTCGGAGCAACCCCGCGACGGCCGCCTTCGTCGTCGTGTGCTTTGTCATGTCGCCACTGGGCTGCTGGAGCGACGCCAGCCCCTCCACGTAGCGTCTCGTGAAATCCGCCATCTCCGAGGCCAGGCCGAAACCAGCCTGCCGGCGCTCCTGCTCGAGGGCGCGGTGGCCGCTCAACCAAGTAAGCGCGACAGTCGCACCTGCCACTAGCAATGGAAGTACCTCGCGCGATTGACCCCGACGCTGCTGCTACTTGGAACGACCGACCCTGGTAGCTGAGCTGGGTCAGCGCGCGCGGCTGGCAGCGGGAAGTGCCGCCGCCGCCGCCGCCGCCCATCGGCCGCCCGACGCGGCCCGTCCCCGACGCCCAAGGGGCCACGGCTGGGGGCGCACTCGCCGCGGCCCTCCTCCTTCGCCATGGCTCGCCCGCGGGCGCACCTCGATCTCCTCGAGGCGCCCCGCGCCCATCTCGCCCTCGTCCTCGCCCGCGCCCGCGGCCGCTGGTCGCGCCGCCGCCGCCGCCCTCGTCCGACTCGTCGGTCGACGGCAACGTCCCCAGCGTCATGGAGCGCGCGGCGCGGCGGTCGCGCTCGCCCCTGCGGCGCCCGACCCCCCAGGCGCGGAGCCCTGGGTCGGCGGCCCCCAAGAGCGATGCCACCTCCTCGCACGCGCTCGCGAGCTCCGAAGTTCGGTGGCCGTCAGCTGTCTGCCAAGGAGGGCGCCACTAGCGAGGGACTGCAGGTTCACCTGGCCCTGCATCGCGAACAGACAAAGGGGATTTCCAGACGGCCAGGGACTCGCGAGTCACCCCATCCCTCATCTCGAGGAAACTCCCCGTGTCCAACATGAAACCGACACCACCGCTGCGCGCGATGCCCCCTTGACTCAACTCGGGTGCTTCGCCATGGGCGGGCTCCGCCCCCCTCGACGTCGGCAATCTGGCCAGGCACCAGCACGCCCTCCATCCAGAGCACCACCGCCACGGACGGCACCTCGGAAACAAGCTCCCCGCACGTGTCCAAGCAACTGCTCAAATCTAGCCTGTTCGACCGCGTGCTAGAGTAGTCTCTCCTGGAACCTGTGCACACACACAGACACGCAGAAAGCGAGGGACCCCGGCGTTCCTCCTAGTCACGCGAACTGCTCGTCCACGCTGACTTCATTATACTGCCCCTTGTATGTCATCAGCTCGGGCGTCATGGCCTGCCAGATCGTACCCATATTGTCGCCACTCCACCAGCCAGGTTCGAGCACGGGCCTCTCGTGGAACAGCACCTCGCCGACGCTCGAGCGCTGCAGCACAGCAGACCTGACACGCGCGATCTCACGCGCGAGCTCCTCGGCCGAATACAGCATCACGTCGGCCGCCGGGAACCTCACCACGGGCACCATCAACGCCCGCGCCGGTCCGCCGTCGAAACATCGCACCGTCCAGCTTCCCGATGAGCGCCGACGCCAGGTGTCCCGCCGCCACACCACCCCAGCCGAGGCCCTCGACCTCCGCCTCGGGGCAGGGAGCGCAAGTCGGTCCATCCGACAAGGCACAGGCAGGCGGCGGGTCGCTGGCCGATGCCGAGAGGCCCTCCGCGGCCTCCTCGAGGCGAGCCAGGCTGGCCCCGAGATGCTCCCGCACAGCCTCGTCGCGCGCCCGCTGGTCCAGCTGTCCCAGCACCAGCAACGCCGCGAGCATGGCGCGCATGGCCACGCTCAGACGAAAGAAAGAAACGAGGCTTGGGCACAAACATTTTGGATATGGAAGGGGTGAAAACAGTGGACCTCGACACCTCCCCAACTTCGCACGTCATCTCCGTGCAGCGCGCATCCATGTAAAGTCCACTCTGCGGCCAGTTGGTGCAACAACACAACACAATGTTCACTTTGCGGGCGCCCCACGGTACATTTGTACTGTGTGCTGTCAAGGATGGTGGGCTCCTCAAATTGTTTAGCGTGCGCGGGATCATCCTCCCCCTCAAAACCAACGCGACGCCATTGCGGGTGCACGCAGCATGCACCAGAATGGCCATCCCGCCAGAATCGTGCACTGCAGTCAGGGATAGTGGGGAGGGAGCACACGTTTACCGATGTGCCTCGTCACGTGACACACTCGGCGCATGTGGAGCACGTGGCGCATTTGGTGCACCACGGGCGCCTGGCACGCTTGGGCCCCTGGGGCGCCCAGCGCCCGTGGTGCTCGTTGCACGCGTGGCGCACCTTGCCAGTGTCGCGCGCCTGGCGTCGGTGTTGGTCCCCAGTGGCTGTCCATCAAATGACGCCGCTGAATGTACTGACACTCGGATGCTGCTTAATGCGGATGGGAGTAAGCGAGACGGTTCGCGGCTTGTGAGCAGCTTGATCACTGCTCTCTACTAGTATGCACCCCCTCCCCCAGGCGGCCGGCAGCCAATCAGGACCAATGCCCCCCCCCCCCCCTCCCTGTCAAAAACAATACGAAGCACACTCGGGGGCAAAATCTTGGGTCATGCTTGTGGGGCCCGCGAGCAGTTTGTATAGTTTGTTGACCGGGGCGGCGGGAGTGCCCTCATGTTGCCTGCTTTGCGCAAGGCCACCACCATTTGTCACAAACACTATAAGATGCACTTCGCGGCTAAATCTGGATCATGCGCTGCCACCCCGCGATCACTGTCCGTTGGCGTTTGAAAAGGACCGCGGGGGTGCTGGCATATTGCCTGCTGTGTGCAGGCCCACCAAACACGATGATGGCGTCTCTGGCTTTTTACAAGAATGGTGGGGGCTGACATGTGTCCCGATGGGTGCTGCCACGTGCGCGGGCGCACCTGGCACCCTGGCACACTCTGCGCGTGTCCCGGACGTGGCGCACCTGGCGCGGCTGGGCCATGCGGCGCACATGGCGCACGTGGAGCACGTGGCGCATCTGGCGCGCGAGGCGTGCCCCCAGGAGGCCAAAACCCTTTCAACATTCAAAGGAAACAACTGATTGGTGCATTCTCCCCGTTTCGCCTCCGATGGGCTTGCAATGCCTCAAGATGGCCCCAAGACGAAGATTACCCAGGAGAGCTCCAAGAGGGGGGTCTAAGACATCCCAGGACGGACCCAAGAACGCCCAAGAGCGCCCAGTGAGGGCCCCGAGTGGCGACATGAGGGGCTCCAGTGGGTCGACCCAAACCAGGAGCCCCCACTTCGCTCAAAGCACAAGCTATTGAACAGCAAGTGAGCGTTCAAAGATGATGGCATCTCGGAGACATGCTGGGGAGGTCGTCGGACCAGCGTGGCTCCAAGGTAGCCTCAGAGAGTCCAGGATTGTTTCTCGTCTGCCACCATCCTCCTCCTCCCCCTCCTCCTCCTTCTCTTTCTCCTTTTCCTTCTCCTCCTCCTCCTCCTGCACTTCCTCCTCCTGCTCCTCCTCCTCCTCCTCCTCGTCCTCCTCCTCCCCCTCCTCTCCATCCTCCCCCAACCAACGTTAACCAGAATTTGACTGAGAACGTCTTCAATCAACTTATCCTCCGTCTGCTGGCACTATTATTCGTCCTGCTCCTCCCACTCCTCCACCATCCGCTTCCTCCTCCTTCTCCTCCTCCTCCTCCTCCGTATCCCGCCTCCTCCTCCTCCTCCTCCTCCTCCGCCGTTCCTCGTTCGACAGACATGCGATGGCACATGTGACTCATGGACCTGGTCAGGCTGATCCCGGGCTTCGGTCTGACAGCTTCCTCAATTCTCTGTTCCACTACATGCTCCCCCAATTCCCTGATCGAGACCATTCGCCTGGGCTGGTGGAGATACGGGAAGCGTCAATGAGCAACATCGGTTGCCTTCGAGGCTGGTTGCCCAACATCGCATCGGGAAGCCTTCACGGAGCCTCCAGAAGACCCCAAGACGGCTCAAGACAACCCCACGAGAGCCCCAAGACGGGCCCTGGATGGTGCGATAATCATCCAAGGCGGTTCACGAACGATCCAAGAAGATGGCCGCAAGACCAACATGCGCGTAACGAAGACTGTTCAACAGAGCTTGGTCGGGAGAGCTCGGTAGCACCACTGCGCCCGTGGTGGCCCCGAGTCCGAGACTCCAGACAGGCCCCGATAGAGGCCCCCGACGGGCCTCCCAGATGCCACCAAGCGACCCCCCAAAAAGCGTCCGAGACGAATGACATGGGAGAGTGCGCGGCTGCGGACAAGGAGAAGACGTTCAAGACGCACGCTCGAGCAACCACTGAACTGACCCGAACCTCGTTCCTGCTGCGCTGCTGCGCCGGCGCGGCGGCGTGGTCTGCCACGGGCAGCTGGATAGGCTCGCAGCAGTGTGACTGCAAGACTGGCGCCACAAGCCTACAGTCGGGGCCTTGACCTAAGGAACCCTAAATAAGGAATGAGGCCCCTATTTTCCACAAGTTGAACTTCGATTTCGCATCGAAAACCTAAGGAAAATCCAAGGCAAGCTGCGAAACACTTAAGGAACGCGGAGCCCCTCCCCAACGAAAAGGGTTCCTTCTTCAGGGCCCCGGCTGTACAAGACAGTCCGCGGGGCCCCGAAAGCTCCCGAGACGGCCCAGGAGGCCCTCAAGTTGGACCCAAGATGACCCCACCTCCACTTCGCGTCAAAGACAACCGCAAAGCGGTTCCAAGACGGTCCAAGACCGCCCCAAGATGACTCCCCCAGACGGCCACAATGCCTTCCAAAACGGCTCCCAACCCCCCAAGGGATACCACGACCCTCTCAACGGGCCCCAAGAACGTCCCAAGATAGCCACGGAGGGCCCCGAGAAAGCCCACAGACGGCGCCATGACGAGCCTGAGAGCTTGGTCACATGCGTGTCACGGCCGTCTTCACGAGCAGTCGCTGAGCAGGACGTTTGTTTCACCCTGGGGGGCGGCTTGATAAAGGGATCGGCGCATGTGGCGTCAGCCTGGTGAATCGTAGAGCCCGGCAAACCCCATCTTGTTCAGCTTTCCAACCAACTCCTTGCGTGTGTAGCTGCGTGGCAGATTGCGCAGCATCACTGTGGTTCTCGTGTCAGACTTGGTAGGTGCATGTGGTGGGACGTCTGCGACCAGAGAGCCTCGTGGATCAACAAAAACTGCACACACTGAATGTCTTCGAGGTCCGATCTGCTTTCTTGGATCGGCGCTCCGTGGCGCGCGGAGAGCGCGCCAGGGGCGGCGCCTGAGGCGCTGCCGGAGGGCCCAAACGACGATCCGAGAAATCAGCGCGGACCTCCGAAACATATGTGTGTGCCGTGCTTTCTGTGGACAAGCGCGTTCCACTGCTCGCAAATTAGCTACTCGCAAATGGCCCGGCTCCGCCGCAACGCATTGAGGACGGCATGTTTTTTCCAAGCCATCCTGTGGTGTTGGGTCACCGAGTTGAAGAGACAGCGCCCAGCGTTCCCCACTCCTCCTGCCCCTCCTCCCTCTTCCCATCCGCCTCGTCATCGTCCAGGTCAGCGTCATCATCGTCATCATCATCGCCATCGTCATGATACACATCATCGTGAGCATCGCCATCGCCATCGTCAGCGCCGCGCCCCTCACGGTTCGTGGCCACACAAGGAGCTCCTCAGAAGGCCCCAGTGGCAGGGTCCGCATGCGGGGACCGCCAACCGTTTTGGTACACCCCTCACACGGTTCGTGGCCCTGTAGGAAGCTCCACCGAAAGCCCCAGTGGCAAGGTCCACATGGCGCCGTATCCATTTTGGCGCACCCCTCACACGGTTCGTTGCCCCATAGGGAGCTCCACCGTAGGCCCAAGTGGCAGGGTCCACATGGCGGCGCCGCCCCATCTTGGCGCACATCTCACACGATTCGTAGTCCCACAAGGAGCTCCACCGAAGGCCCCAGTGGCAGGGTCCACATGGCGGCGCCGCCACATTTCGGCACACCCCTCAAAAGGTTTGCGGCCCCATAGGGAGCTCCACGGAAGGCCCAAATGGCAGGATCCACATGGCGGCGCCGCCACATTTCGGCAGACCTCTCACACGGTTCGCGGCCCCATAGGGAGCCCCACCGAAGGCACCAGTGGCAGGGTCCACATGGCGGCGCCGCCCCATCTTGGCGCACATCTCACACGATTCGTAGTCCCACAAGGAGCTCCACCGAAGGCCCCAGTGGCAGGGTCCACATGGCGGCGCCGCCACATTTCGGCACACCCCTCAAAAGGTTTGCGGCCCCATAGGGAGCTCCACGGAAGGCCCAAATGGCAGGGTCCACATGGCGGCGCCGCCCCATTTTGTCGCTCCTCTCACACGGGTCGTGGCGCCATAGGGAGCTCCACCAAAGGCCCCAATGGCAGGGTCCCCATGGCGGCGCCGCCCGATTTTGGCGCACCCCTCACACGGTTCGTGGCCTCATATGGAGCTACACCGAAGGCCCCAATGGCAGGGTCCGCATGGCGGCGCCGCTTCATTTTTGCGCACACCTCACATAGCTCGTGGCCCCATAAGGAGCTCCACCAAAGGCCCCGCTGGGAGGGTCCACATGGCGGCGCCGCCCAATTTCCGGGCACCACTCGCACAGTTCGTGGCCACATAGGGAGCTCTCACACGGTTCGCGGCCTCACAATGAGCTCCACCGAAGGCCCCACTGGCAGGGTCCGCATGCGTCAACGCAACCCATTTCGACACACCCCTCACACGGTTCGTGGCCCCACAGGGAGCTCTACCAGATGCCCCAGTGGCAAGGTCTGCATGCATCAACGCCACCCATTGTGTCGCACCCCTCACACGGTTCGTGGCGCCATAGGGAGCTCCACCGAAGGCCCCAGTGGCAGGGTCCGCATGCGTCAACACCACCCAGGACAGGGCTTCGTGGCCCCATAGGGAGCTCCACCGAAGGCTCCAGTGGCAGGGTCCGCATGCGTCAACGCCACCCAGGACAGCGCTTCGTGACCCCATAGGGAGCTCCACGGAAGGCCCAAATGGCAGGGTCCGCATACGCCAACGCCACCCAGGACACCGCATCGTGGCCCCATAGGGAGTTCAACCGAAGGCTCCAGTGGCAGGGTCCACATGCGTCAACGCCACCCAGGACAGCGTTTCGTGGCCCCACAGGGAGCTCCACCGAATGCTCCCGTGGCAGGGTCCGCATGCGCCAACGCCACCCAGGACAGCGCTTCGGGGCCCCATAGGGAGTTTCACCGAAGGCTCCAGTGGCGGGGTCCGCATACGTCAACGCCATCCAGGACAGCGTCTCGTGGCCCCATAGGGAGCTCCACCGAAGGCTCCAGTTGCAGGGTCCGCTACGTCAGCGCAACCCAGGACAGTGTTTCGTGGCCCCACAGGGAGCTCCACCGAAGGCTCCAGTGGCAGGGTCCGCATGCGCCAACACCACCCAGGACAACGCTTCGTGGCTCCATGGGTAGCTCCACCGAAGGCCCCACTGGCGGGGTCCGCATGCGTCAACGCCACCCAGGACAACGCTTCGTGGCCTCATATGGAGCTCCACCGAAGGCTCCAGTGGCAGGGTCCGTATGCGTCAACGCCATCCAGGACATCGCCTCGTGGACCTATAGGGAGCTCCACCGAAGGCTCCAGTGGCAGAGTCCGAATGCGCCCACGCCACCCAGGACAGTGTTTCGTGGTCCCATAAGGAGCTCCACCGAACTCTCCAGTGAGAGGGTCCGCATGCGTCAACGCCATCCAGGACAGCGTTTCGTGGCCCCACAGGGAGCTCCACCGAAGGCTCCAGTAGCAGGGTCCACATGCGCCAACGCCACCCAGGACAGCGTCTCGTGGCCCCATGGGGAGCTCCACCGAAGACTCCAGTGGAAGGGTCCGCATGCGTCAACGCCACCCAAGTCAGCGTTTCGTGGGCCCATAGGGGGCTCCACCGAAGGCCCAAGTGGCAGGGTCTGCATGCGTCAACGCCAGCCATGTAGGCACACCCCTCACACGGCTCGTGGCCCCACAGGGAGGCTCCACCGAATGCCCCAGTGGCAGGGTCCGCATGCGTCAGCGCCACCCATGACAGCGCATCGTGGCCCCATAGGGAGCTCCACCGAAGGCCCAACTGGCACCGTTCGTATGCGTTCCCCCCCGCCCAGGACAGCGTTTCGTGGCCCCACAGGGAGCTCCACCGAAGGCCCCAGTGGCACCGTTCGCATGCGTCTCCCCCACCCAGCACCATAAGGAGCTCCACCGAAAGCTGTACCCACAATGCGGCACTCGCAGCTTCATATGGTCGGGTCTCGTCAGGCTATTTTTGTTCCTAACGTTTGCGAGTATGCACTCTGCGAGTAGTGGAACGCGCTCGGTGATTCTGTTTGGAATGCAGACCGTGCGGTGACCTCGAAATCACCCAAGGCCTCACCGCACGGTCCGTCTTGGGACCTCGGATGCCCCAGCCGCCCGAGACGTCCTCGGAGAACGACCCGAGTCCCAAAACCGTGCGGTGACCCCGAATCCCCACCGACTCACCACACGGTGTGGTCACCCCCCCGCCTGGGGGCCCCCGATTCTTCTGCGAGAGCCTGGAGCGTCTACGCGGCCGCCGACCTTGCCCAGAGGCGCCCTCGGACTGCCGGGCGCCTGCGGCGCGAGGGCGTGGCCGACGGCGCCGACGAGGCCGGGGCCGCGGTCCGAGAGCGAGCAGGAGCTGAGGCGGTCCTCCTCCTCGGGGTCGGGGCCGGCCGGGGCGTGGAGCTTGGTGAGCGGCAGGCCCGCGGGGGCCGTGCGGGAGGCGGTGCGGGGCGGGCACGAGCTGGCCTGGGGCACGCACTCGGGCGCAGCGGTCGTGCCCTCGTGCGGGGGGGGGGGCGGGGGCGACGCCAGGCCCAGAGATCCGACGTCGTGACTTGTCCCATGCGCGGCCCCCAGAAGTCTCGACCCGCTCCCCAGGACCAGTGTTTCATCCTGCGTCGCTTCCTGGCGGTCCCCCGAGGCCCGGCGGGGGCCCCCTGTATATATAGGGGCCGCAGTGCGCGAGAGACCTCCGTGTAGACTTTCTCAGTGCGTTGGATCCCTGGGGGGGAGGGGCTGGCTCCGGGGGGGGGGGGGGCATCGGACCGGCAGCGGGGATGCACAGCGGACAGAGCGGCGGCAGGCCCCGAGAGCGAGTGCGAACACGGCCCTGGGCGGGCCAAGGGGCGCTTTGGGGGGGGGGCCGATGTGCCCGCCCCCCGGGAGCCCGTCCTCCCCCATCGCGTGGCCCCCGTGGCTCCTCATCCTCCTCCTCCTCCTCCTCCTCCTCCTCCTCCTCCTCCTGGCCCCCGTGGCCTCGATGTGCACGGAGTCCAGGAACGTGTTCTTGACCACCACGCGCAGAGGCATGTTCGCAAAAGGGTCGAGCGGCGGCAGCGGTGGAGCGTGCGCGGGTGGGTGCTGCGCAGGGTCGGGCACTGGCTTGAGCCCCCCTGCCGAGGTCCAGCGGTCTGCCTGATCGGTCTGCGCAGCCAATGGTAGCGCACACCTGGCGCGATCCCAATCAGTCCGAAGCAATTCAGGGCGGCTCTGATCAGCGCGCTGCAACGCAATGCAGAACATTGCTTCGCGTTGCTTGGCGTTGCTCGGAATCGCTGCTTGGCATCACTTGGCATTACGTGGCGTTGCGTCGCTTGGCTTTGCTTCGCGCTGCTATTGCTTTGCGTTGTTTGGCATTGCTTGGCGTTGCTTGACATTGCATTGCTTGGCGTTGCTCGGCATTGCTTGGCATCGTTGCTTGGAACCGTTGCTTGGTATTGCATGGTATTGCTTTGCGTTGCGAAACAGGGCGCCCCGGGCAACCCCGAGGAACGCTGGCCAACTGGGCAACGGGGCAACCCCGAAGAACCCTGGGGGGGCGCCTCTGACAAGCGCCGACGCACCCACCGTTTTCTACACTAAACACAGGAGAAGCCACTCGGCAAAACCTGCTTGATCAGAAACCCTGGTTTATTACAGCATGAACCGCTGCAAAAACAAAACATAGGGTGTCAGTAATCTTTTCCCGCTGCAGTCATAGCACGTGTTGCCCCAGAGGCCGAGTCCCACAAATGCCTCGAAACAACACAGGTCAGTTCCGAGGCGGTTCTGAGATAGCCCCAGGGGGGCTCAGCCTGGGGAGCCGGCGGCCGAGGACGCAGCCCTTCAGAGCATCTGCTCAGAAGATCAGTCGAAAGAAATCCGCCGTCCCTGTCGGCGTGTGCGAGACGCTGCTTGGTTCGACTCGTCGACGTCGTCGTCGCCGCCGCCGTCGCCGCACCCCCCCCCTTCCCTGGGCCCTCCTCCGCAAGCGCGCCAGCCAAAGCGAAATTGAACAAGGTCGTAGTTGAGTTGAAGGGAACCTCCTTTCCTTTGATCACTTCACCGCCGGGGGGGACGTCCCAAGGGGGGCGTGGAATGGTCCCGGGTCAGAATGCAATGCCCCCACGGGGTCCCGGAACCGACGAAGGCCCCAAGACTGGCCAAGAGTGCCCCAAGAGGCCCCCAAGACCGCTCAACAGGGCCCCGAATCGCCGAACGATCGGTTCGAGACACCCAAGATAGCCTCCAGACGGCCCAAGAGGCCTCCAAGACGCCCCAAAAGCGGCCTCCAAAAGCACTCCCAATAGAGCCCCAAGAGGCAATATTTCCGTTAGTCGTTGACCGATTTGAGCGTTCTCGCCTTGTCGGTCCGGTTTCCTGACGCTCCAAGGCGGCCAAAGAGACACCCCCAAAATCGCCCCAAGACGGCCCAAGCTGTCTCCAAGCGGGCTCCAAAACGACCGAAGAGGGCCCCAAGACGGCCCAAGAGGCCTCCAAGACGGCTCAAGAGCTCCCAGGAGGCTCCTGGGGGCCCCCAAGAGGCCTCAAGGGGTACCCGGGAAGGCCTACGAGGCCCCGAAGAGGCTCCTGAGAGGCCCCCAGGTGACTCCCAAGAGGCCCCGAACTGCCCCGAAGATGGATCCTCCAGGCGGTGATCATGCATAAATTCCTGCCTCGGATCCATGACGGTCCAAGATGGCCCCGACAGGTCCCCCAAAGGCACTCCGAATCGTTACCCCGTCATGGAGGGAGGCCGTGGTCGGCAGCGAGGTGGTCCCAAGCAGCCCCCAAAGGCCCCCCAAGGGAGCCCAGGGGACCTCCACAATCCCCCAAGATGCCCCCAAGAAGCTTCCGTGAGGCCCCAGGGAGACCCTGCCAGGAGAAAACCCCGAAACAGAACACATCGAGGAGGACGTGAGAGGCTTCGCAGGGAAATGCGAGAACGAGCAACCACACACACACACACACACACGCAGATATGCATATACATACATGCACATACGCGTATGTGTGTATGTATGTATGTATGTATGTATGTATGAATGAATGTATGAATGTATGTATGTATGTATGTATGTATGTATGTATGTATGTATGTATGTATGTATGTATGTATGTATGTATGTATGTGTGTGTATGTATGTATGTATGTATGTATGTATGTATGTATGTATGCATGCATGCATGCATGCATGCATGTATGTATGTATGTATGTGTGTATGTATGAATGTATAGATGTATGTATGTATGTATGCATGTATGTATGTATGTATGCATGCATGCATGTATGTATGTATGTATGGATGTATGTATGTATGTGTGTATGTATACACGTGTGTATGTACATACATATATAAATATACATCAACCATGTGCGGAAATGAAAGCGGAACAACAGGACGATAACGACGATATTGAGCACTGGAGCACGAACATCGTATTATTGCTCTTCTCTCTCTATCCATCTCTCTCTCTGTTCTTCCCGCTTGAATCCGAAATTCGAAAGGCCAAGGTGCATGGCGCGAAGCGCCGATGCGGTCTTCTTTACATCTGTATTTACACGTATATGATCACCCCCTGTCTGTCTGTCTGTCTGTCTGTCTGTCTGTCTGTCTGTCTGTCTGTCTGTCTGTCTGTCTGTCTGTCTGTCTGTCTGTCTGTCTCTCTCTCTCTCTCTGTCTCTCTCTCTCTCTCTTTGTCTCTCTCTCTGTCTCTCTCTCTCTTACACCCCTCCCCCCGGTCCAGTCGAACAGAAAGCTCGCCAAACTGGGTACCCTCTCCCCCCAGTGATACTGGGGCCCGACACACGAGCTACATGCCTGGCTGCCCTTTCGGGCCTCCATCGTGGGATGAGGCTGGGCACCCCGCCTTACTTCGCCTCGCTCGCGAGCCCGCAGGAAGGCTGCTCCTCCGCTGGTCACGCCCGCGCCCGCGGGCCCTGGCCCTATGGTCGGGAATACTTGCATGGCGTGTCGCGGCAGCGGCCCAAGTGACTCGCTGTGCCCTGCGAGCGGGTGGCGTGTCGCTCCTCTCCACGGGGCGGGAGGCTCGGAGAGGCTCGGAACGTTGGCGCGTGGAAAGGGAGACGTGGATGGCGTGTCGCGCCGAAGCGTCGTGGGCCAAACTGGCTGAGCGACACGCTAATCAAAAGTTCCCGACCGTCGTCCGCGGGGCAGCCGGGGAGGTGCCGTCCCCAACACGAAGGTGAGCCTCTGTTTTGAACCGCGGCAGCTCTAGCTTGATAGGCACCCTGAGCGCGACGTCGGCCCTAAGCCTGGCCTCGGGGCCGCGCCCGCCTAGCCCGAGCCTGGCTCAGAGCGCCCAGCTGCGATCATCGCGGCCACCGCACCCTGAACGAACGGAGGCGAAAACGCACCCCCCTTCGCCTCATCCTCGTCCTCTCCCTCCTCGTCCTCTCCTGCTCCTCACCCTCGCCCTCCCCCTCCTCGTCCCCTCCCCCCATCCTCCTCATCCTGTCCTCATCCTCCATGCACGTTCCACCCGGAACTCCCCCCGACGGAAACTGCACCAGCGTCGGCCAGGACAGGAGCAGAACAGTGAGTGGCATGGCGACAGAAATCGCAAATCAAGGGGCAGCCCCCACGTTGGCCCGCAACCATTATCACGCCAAGAGGCGAGCGTGTATGTATGTAGTTATGTCTGCCTGGATGTATGTACGCATGGGTCTATGGACAGGTACGTGTATGAATGCAATTATGTAAGCATATAAGGATGTCAAGGTGTGAGTAGGTAATATGTGTATATGCATATACGTGAGTATGAAGTAGGAAAGTAAATACGTGTGTAAGTCTGGATGTGCGTACGTATACCTGCATATTGGTGTGGCTGAGTTTATGTATGTATGTATGGATGTATGCATGCACATATGCATGTATGTTTGTATGTATGTGTATGCATGTAGGTACGTATATGTGTGTATGCATGTATGTATGTATGCATGCATGCATGCATGCATGCATGCGTGCATGTATGTATGTATGTATGTATGTGTGTATGTATGTGTGTATGTATGTATGTATGCATGCATGTGTGTATGTATGTATGCATGTTTGTGTGTATGTATGTATGTATGTATGTATGTATGCATGTATGTATGTATGTATGTATGTATGTGTGTATGCATGTATGTATGTATGTGTGTGTGTATGTATGTATGTATGTATGTATGTATGCATAGTTGTGTGAATATGTGTATGTGTATGCATGCATTTTCATGTATGTGTACGTGGGTGTATGGATGTGCGTATGTATGGATAGGTGTATACATGTATGCATGTACGCATGCATGCATGACTTTATGTATGTGTATGCGCATGTATGCATGCATGTATATATGCAGTCATGCATGCATGTATGCGTGTATCCATGTCTGTATGTCTGCATGTATGTGTGTCAGTGTTTCTGTTTGTGTGTATGCACTTATACATGCGTGTATGTATGCTGGCATGTATCTATGTAGGTGTGTACACACGCATACACAAACATACATACAACTACGCGCCCAGCAGACGCGCATCTTCCCCGCAGGAAGGGCCCTCAAACTGTCAACCTTATAAGCTCAACCCCTGGGCCACAACTGTCAGCCAGATATCCTCAGCCCTGGGTCCAAAGCTGCCAGCCCGATGCCTGATGTCCTCACACCCTGGCCCACAACAGCCAGCCAGATATCCTCACCCCTTGGACCAAAACTTCTAGCCACATATCCTCATCACTCCCTGGCATAAAACTGCCAGCAAAAACATCCTCACCTCTTGGCCCGCAACTGCCAGCCAGATGTCCTCACCACCTGACCAACAACTGCCTGACAGATATCCTCATCCCGTGGCCCACAACGGCCAGCCAATTATCCCCACCCACCCACTGACCAATCACTGGCAGGCAAATCCGCCGACCCTGTCGGCATGTGGACGACGTTGTTCTGTTTGACTCGACGTCGTCGACGTCGACGTCGACGTCGACATCGTCGTAGTCGTAGTCGTAGTCGCAGTCCTCGTCGTAGTCCTCGTCGTCGTCGTCCTCCTCGTCGTCGTCGCCGTCCTTGTCGTCGTCGTCGGCGGCATCGCGTTTGGCCCCCCCTTTCCCTGGATCCGTCGCCGCTCACCCCATTTCGCTGGGCCCTTCTCCTCAAGCGAGCCAGCCAAAACGAAACCCAAGCGAAATTGAGCAACGTCGTGGTTGAG